GGGAAAAAGAAAATAGAGTTGACACTCAAGCACCATGGGGGTTAGGGGCGCCAACCCCACGCCCTGTACTGCTGAAAATCTACATGTAACTTCTGATGCCCCAAAACCTTAACTACTAACAGTCTGCTGTTGACTGGAAGCCTCACTGATAATAAAAGGTCAATTAATACATCTTTTGTACATATATGATATATCCTAACCTTACAATAAAATAAACTGGAAAAAGAAATGTTAAGAAAGTCAGAAGGAAAACACATTTCCAGCACCGCACTACATTTGCCGCATATGGCCGGCACCTTGTCGCTCACAAGTCAAGTGCACGCTAACATGCGGCGGTTGTGTTGAAGTGGTGGGATTATGGGTAAGTTCTCCGTTTATAAAATGTTCAAACTTGCAGTTACGTTCTTGTACAACAACATTCTCCTCCAAGAGCCAATTCTCATACAACAGTGCAATTTTACTGGTTTGATTACAACTCACTCGTAAGACTTGCGGTAAACAAACTCTACCAGCGCAAATCAGTTAGGAAAGATCCTCGGAAGACCCGTGTAAACGGACTTCTCGGAGACAGTACCTAACCCACAAGCCTCTCCAGTCCACACCGAGCTTCCCTGGAATTAATGAGGCATCACATAATTTCCCCTCACCTCTGCTGAGCACACAACCTCCAAACTGGTTAGGAGTCCTCGAAAACCCCCACCGACCACCGGCTCCACAGGCAGAAACAGCCCATGTGCTCCCCTCCAGCCACCCAGCCAATAGAAAATGTGAAGTGTGGCGTCAGAGGCCCCTGTAAGTCAAACGACTGACAGAACATGCATCTCAGGCCATCCTGGACCCCCGGTGCTACAAGATATTTTAATCCTGACTATTTTAACAAAGAGCCTCTACCCCTGAAGTCTGGTTATGGTTTTTGAGTGATTCTATAATAAAAACACACAGCAAAAACACTGCAGTTCCTCAGAGGGTAACAGGATCAAGAGTCACGGTCTCCACATACCCTGGGGTCCAGGCATTCCCCCTGCGCCTCCAGCCGGCCCTGCTCACAAACAGGCCACCCCTTCAGCCTCTCCCCAGCAAGTGGGATGGGCAAACATCTCTTTTTGTGTTGCCTTTTTCTTAGGAAGGAAAAAATAATACCAAAACAGAATTCCCCCACCCAGAACACATCACTTTCTTGCTAACCACAAATTCTGGCAAAATCTGTTCTACACAATAGTGATTCAGTCAGTTCCTCTTTCTTCAAATTGACACATTTTTACCTTGCAAATTGTGTACGTCTATATGAGAGAGAGTTTAAAGACCAATAAAGCAAACTTAAATAGTATTTCTACAGCTATCATCATCAAATTAAAATGTGGTATTATCCTTAAAAAGACTTACAGTAAAAATTCTTTTGAAACATTTAAGCCTTTTCTACAGAGCAGATCTTACTCTAGATCCTGGGAGGTAAAGAAAAATAATAATTTCTGCCTACTGAGAGTTTACAATGATGAGAGGAGGATGGACAGGAAGAGTTTTTTCCCGAATGCAAACCGCACTTTGAGGTATAATTTAACCCAAATGCATACATCTTATGTGACAGCTCAATGAATTCTGATGAATGTACACCCAGAGAAAAAGCAGGCAAGGGGTGGTGGCTGGGGCCGAGAGACCAAGGAAATCGCCCAGGCATGCAGAGAAGGTGGGGGCCCCTGTGCAGGAGCTTGGATGATAAGAAGAACTCAGCAGTGACCCCAGAGAAAACCAGGAGACAAATGGCTGGGAGCTTCCTAACCAGATGGAATGTATGGAATGCCATCAAGTTAGCCACTCCAACAGAAGTGAAGCTGATTCTCCCGTGTTCTAAAACAAGTTTAGGTCCATTGGATTGCAGAAAGTGGGGCCATTTGTCGTTTGTGTGTATTTTTATCAGGGTATGATGCAATCTCAAAAACTCAAATTACACAGTCAAGCATATATCACATTCATCCCCTGCCATTCTTACCCTATGTCCCAACTGCTGAACTTCAAAACCTCAAAATAGGACCTGAAATAAAATCTCATCCTGCACAGAGAACAGGATGTTCCCACTGGGCACTGTGATAGTAATAATTTTAACATAAAATCCCCAAAGGGTCTATGTTCAAAATGAAAAAAGAAACGCAACAAATCTATAAGGAAAAAGACACACTCCTAAGAAAAGGGGCAAGAGATACGAACGGTGAGTCAGTTCAGAGAGGCCACACAAGATGAAACTATGACAAGAAACTAAACTCCACTAATACCGGAGGAAAAGAAGTCCAAACAAAAATGAAACACTTTCTGAATGTTTGTAAGTCTGAAGGGAGTTTATAAGAATGGTAGTTAGCATCCAGGAGGTCACGAGGAAATGATGTTCTTAATAGGGCCTCGACAGTCACAAGAATAAACTGGTAGGAGCCCCCAGAGGATAAGGTGTGGGTGTCCGCTAAAACAAAAGATGTGTACACCCATGAGCCAGCGATGCCACCCCCAGGGCAGCTACTTTGTTCAAGGCACACTAACACGCCCTCCCCCCACAAAGCGGTCCACAACCTAAGCCCTGGAAACTGAATTTGTTGTTTCCACAGTAAAGGGGAACTAAGGTAGCAGGTGGAATTCAGGTGGCCAACCGGTGGACCTTTAAATAGGCCACGGGTTGCGGATTATCCAGGTGGGCCCAATGTAGTCCAGGGGTCCTCAAAAGTGGAAGAAGTAGACAAGAAAACGGGAACCAAAGAAATGACAGCACGAGAAAGACGTGGCCCATGGCTGCTGGAGAAAGGGGACCATCATCAGCTAAGGAATGTGGGAAGCGTCTGCAAGCTAGAAAGGCCAGAAAATGGATTTCCCCCTAGGGCCTCCAGAAGGAACGCAGCCCTGCCCACACCTGATAAGTAGCTGAGGAAAACTATTTTGGACTACTGACCTCCATCCAGATCTGTGAGACGATAAATTTGTGTTGTTTAAGCTACCACGTTTGTAGTAAGTTGTTACAGCAGCGGCAGAAAACTCACACACTGGGCGCCTGGGTGGCTCAGTTGGTTGGGCGACTGCCTTCGGCTCAGGTCATGATCCTGGAGTCCCGGGATCGAGTCCCGCGTCGGGCTCCCTGCTCGGCGGGGAGTCTGCTTCTCCCTCTCCCACTCCCCCCTCTCGTGCTCTCTCATTCTCTCTCTCTCTCTCTCTCTCTCAAATAAATAAATAAATAAATCTTAAAAAAAAAATAAAAAAAAAAAAGAATAGGGCGCCTGGGTGGCTCAGTCGGTTGAGCGACTGCCTTCGGCTCAGGTCATGATCCTGGAGTCCCGGGATCGAGTCCCGCATCGGGCTCCCTGCTCGGCAGGGAGTCTGCTTCTCCCTCTAACCCTCCCCCCTCTCATGTGCTCGCTCTCTCTCATTCTCTCTCTCTCAAATAAATAAATAAAATCTTTAAAAAAAAAAAAAAAAGAAAACTAACACACTGCCCCAGGGGAATAAATATTTATTTATTTTGTTCTCAGGCACCTGGGCGGCTCAGCTGGTTAAGCGTCTGCCTTCAGCTTAGGTCATGATTCCGGGGTCCTGGGATGGAGTCCGCATCATCCGGCTCCCTGCTCTGCAGGGAGTCTGCTTCTCCCTCTGCCCCTCACCCCGCTCCTTCTCTCTCTCCCAAATAAATAAAATCTTAAAAAAAAAAAAAAAGGTTTGTTCTACCACTTCGCCTGCCTCATAGGATGGTCAAGAGGTTTTAAATGGAATGAAATGACAGGCTACATACCAACAGCCGGTGAACCCCACTTGAGACTCCCCCGGCTATAGAACGGCACCCCATAAACTGTCCGCATGGTGAGCACACCTAATAAAATCACCACGACCCCAAAGAAGGGCGACTACCATGGTTATTCCCGCGAAGTCACAGGGAAGGCAAGCTTGAGAGCTCGTGCCATCCATAAACGGCGGCCAGGGGGTGAGTCCCGCGTGACACGTCCAACCGCAGACCCGTGCGTGCCAAGAGACCCCCGAGCCACCACCACACCCAGCAAGCGTGACCTGCTTCACAATCCGAGTGGAAATGAGCCAATGACGGCCTCCCATCCCCAAGAGCGCCCAGCCAAGGGGTCCAGGCTGCGGCCCTGGTATCGGCGGGGCCGACTGCCCACGCCGGGCTCAAACGTGCGACCTCGAGAACACAATGTTCTAATCAACAGCAAGAGCCGTCCCATGCTTCCCCTTACACAGCCGCAAATGAAATGAAAACTAACTAAAACCAATTCTGGAGGTGGGGGGCTTCTTTCTGGGCGCACACTCACCCAGGAGCTTTCGTACCAACGGGTCCAGTCCGATGCCCCCCGCCCCGCAGCTTCCCTGCCACTCCCCTCCCTTCTCTCCCTAATGAACACTCTTTCTGGGGGCCCTCCAGAACTCACTGTCAGCACAGCCCCCTGGGGACACCTCGCAGACCGCCCCCGCGGCGTCCCTCAGCCGTGTGCCCGCCCCCGACCCGCGCCGGCGGCGGCAGTAACTCCTCCCGACGCTGCCCCTCCGACCCCGCTCCAGTTAGAGGACGGAGGAGGGAGCTTTCCAGGGGCGAGCATCCTAGAGAAGCCAAGCCCCGCGCGCGCTTCCCCGTGCTGACGCCCGTCCACTTAGGGCAGAAGCGCTCGCAGCGAAGTTGCGCCCGGTCTGCGGACGAGAACTCGCAGGCCCGGGACCCCGCGCGATTTCTTGTCCGAGCCCCGCAAGTCCGGCGGCTGCGCCCCACGCTGCGGGCCGGGGCGGCACGGCGGGGACAGGGCTGCGGGGACGGCGGGGAGGGCGGGGACGGGCCGCCGCCCCGACGGCCTGCACAGGGAGGCGCGGCCAGGACAAACCGGAGCAGGGGCTCGGGTCCCCGGGCCCGCGGCGCGCTCGTCAGCGTGGCAGGGGCGCGCGGGGCGCCAGAGGGCAGCCACGGAGCCGAGCGCGGCGGGGTCCCGGGGCGGGGGCCGCGCGCGGGAGCAGGGGGCCGCCCGCCATACCTGCCGCGGGCGGGTCCGCCTCCTCGTCAGCCTCCGCCTCAGCGGCCGCCGCGCCTAGCGCCGCGCCCGCCTCCCCCGCCAGCCGGTCCATCACGCCGCCGGTCATGTGAGCGCGCGCCACGTGACTTCCTCCGCGCCGGCCGGCCCGCCACGCCACGCCCACCTCGGCACGCCCCGCCCGGGCCCGGCCCGGGCACGCCCTCGGCACGCCCCCCGCCCGGCCTCGGCACGCCTACCCGGGCCCGGCACGCCCCTTGCCTGCCCTCGCCACGCCCCCCCGGGCCCGGCACGCCCCCCGCCCGGCCTCGGCACGCCTACCCGGGCCTGCCACGCCCCTTGCCTGCCCTCGCCACGCCCCCCCGGGCCCGGCACGCCCCCAGTCCGGCCTCGCCCCGCCCCGCCCCGGCCACGCGGCCCCCGCAGGCCTGGCCCGCGCTCCCGCTCGCCCGCTCGTTCAGCCGCTCGCTCGGCCGCTTGTCGTCACACTCACCCCTTCCGTGTCCGCTTACTCGGACTTCCGCGCGGGCCGCACCCGCCCCGCGCGCCCCTCGCTCACCCCGCAGCCCTGCCCCAGGCTCTCGCCCCGCCCCTCACTTACGCGCCCACCCTCCACTCGCTCGTTTGTCCCGCACCCGCGTTCACGCATTCATCCACTCCCACCCCGCTCACTCCCTCGCTCACCCCTCCCTGGCTCGCTCCTTCACTCATCCGCCCACCCCCTTTCGCACCCGCACCCGCACTCATTCATCCGTCCCCTGCCTTGCTCACTCGCCCACTTGTTCGCCCCCTCGCTGGCTGACTGGCTCACTCATTCATCCGTCCACCCACTCGCTCACCTGCTCTCTCGCACACCCGCCTCGCCCGGCCACCCCCCCACACTGCCCCGCCCCGCCCAGAGGGCAAGCTGCCCAGTGCTGGGAGCCCAGGACACCCGGGTGCGTTAGGTGCCTCCCCCAATCTGGAGGACACAACGCCAGAGCAAGTGTCCTGGCTGTTCCAAAGGGAGGCTGTGGGGGCTCAGGGAAGGGATGAAGGGACCCCCGGTGGGGCGGAGCCTGAGCTGATGCCGGGGACGAGGAGTTAAGCACCAGGAGGAGGCAGCGGCCTCTGGCAGGCACAAAGTCTCCGAGGCATCAGGCAGCTGCAGACGCTGCGGTCCTCCTGGAGCTAAAAGGGTGGGTGTAGAGGGGCGCCTGGGTGGCTCAGTCGGTTAAGCGACTGCCCTCGGCTCAGGTCACGATCCTGGAGTCCCTGGATCGAGTCCCTGGATCGAGTCCCTGGATCGAGTCTCGCGGTGGGCTCCCTGCTCGGCAGCGAGTCTGCTTCTCCCTCTGACCCTCCCCCTTCTCATGCTCTCTCTCTCTTAAATAAATAAAATCATGGGGCGCCTGGGTGGCTCAGTCGGTTAAGCGACTGCCTTCGGCTCAGGTCACGATCCTGGAGTCCAGGGATCGAGTCCCACAGTGGCCTCTCTGCCCCTGCCCCAAGCTCATGTTCGCTCTCTCTCACTCTCTATCTCAAATAAATAAATAAAATCTTAAAAAAAAAAAAAAAAAGGGGCACCTGGGTGGCTCAGTTGGTTAAGCGACTGCCTTCGGCTCAGGTCACGATCCTGGAGTCCCGGGATCGAGTCCCACATCGGGCTCCCTGCTCGGCAGGGAGTCTGCTTCTCCCTCTGACCCTCCCCCCTCTCATGCTCTCTGTCTCTCACTCTCTCTCTCTCTCAAATAAATAAATAAAATCTTTAAAAAATAAAAGTGTGGGTGTAGAAATGGCAGAAGAGGAAGCTGGGGCACCAGGAAGGGCTCCATCCAGGAGGGCCTCCTTTCCAAAGCAAGGAGCTGGGACCTCCTGATTCTGATGCCTACCAACACCCTCTGGGAGCTGGCTACAGCGATCAAGAGCCCTCAAGAGCCCAGACCCGGCTCTGGGTCCTCCCCCAGGAAGTCCTTCTCCTTGCTACAGCTCCTGGACCCTGCCCAGGTTACCCATGACCGCACCCAGGACGTCCCTGCAAGCTGACACAGTCAGAGACGCTCTCCTCCACCATAACCTGGCAAGTGCTGGTCCCTGCTACTCATAGGCTTCCCCAAGTCACAGGGGGACACTGCGGATCCTGTGATACACAGCCCCCCTCGGATGCTGCTTCCTTCCACCCCATGGCCTTCCTTTCAGCTGCTCTTGCCTCAACTGATGTGCTCAGCACTTTCCCTGACTCCGCAACTCTCCACCCCCCAGACACACACACACTCTCTGCTAACGTCCCCGTATTAGCCAGCACGTATCTCTGTCTCTCACGAGAGGATACGGTCTTGACTAAATGTCTAAGAGTTCACTGCAGGGCGCCTGGGTGGCTCAGATGGTTAAGCGTCTGCCTTCGGCTCAGGTCATGATCCCAGGGTCCTGGGATCGAGTCCCGCATTGGGCTCCCTGCTCACCGGGGAGCCTGCTTCTCCCTCTGCCTCTCTCTCTGTGTCTCTCATGAATAAATAAATAAAATCTTAAAAAAAAAAAGTTCACTGCACTTTGCAGAAATTGTAAAGCACTGTACAAGTGCACAGACATTATTCAAGAATGATAACATAAATGTATTATTTTAACAGCCCTAACACAACCTCTAGCTCAGTGGTTCTGGATCTTTGCTGCACTTTCCAATCACCTGGGGAGAGTTCGAATATACTCAGCCTGGAGCTCACCCCCAGAAGTTCTGATTTAATTCATCTGGGATGTGGCCCAGACTTGGGATTTTTTATTTTTTAAAGCTCCCCAGATGATTCTAATGTGCAGCCCAAGTTGAAAGTTTTATTCCTGCAAACATTGCCTGAGCATTTACTAGGTACCGAATTTAGGGGGGTGGGGGGCAAGGATACAAGAGGATTCTCACAGCAGAGCAAAGAAGCTGTTAGGGCTGGAAACATAGGTGTGTGGGAGGAAAGGGGAACAAGCCGTGGGTTCTGACATGACCAGTTCTGAATGCCTCCAGAAAAGGGAACTCGGTCCTTACAGGTTGTGGGCCCCATTGTCAGATATCTCCAACCGTTAGAAAGTTCTTGGAAACATGCACTGAAATGTGTCTGCCTGCAACTTCTTTAGATCCTCACCAAAGAAGACTGATCCTTACACCATTTCTGTTTCATTCGGGGAACAGCAAACAGAAAACCAGAATTTCTGACTTTTAAAACCTTTCGATTAATGGCAAGAATCCAATTATATTAAGACTGTTCATCCATTGCTCCAGTCACATTGGCCGCTTTCCATTTAGGAAACTGAGAAGGACAGAGGCAAACTGACGATTTGGAACACATAGTGGAGTCGGGACTCGGGACTTCACGACGCAGGTGGACACACAGAAAGGGGCTATTATCAGCTGTCCTACCAAAATGCAAGGATTTCCACGTCCTGCTCAGGAGCTTTCAAAACAGTTGTTAAAATGCTTTGAGTACTGTATCCTCGACTATCAATCTAGCTGATGTAGATTTGTCAGGATAAGCGATATCATGCTGCGGTATTTCCAAGACCTGAAATAACAAGGGGATTATGCCCACCACGGTCACTCGGAAACCCAGGACGATGGAGCGGCCACCGTCAGGGATTTCTGCCATCGTGACAGAGGGAAAGCTCCCTGGAGGGTCCAGCGTGAGCACTGAAATGCTCTGGCCCAGAAGTGACACAACACTCCACTCACAACTCCTTGGCCAGAACTGGTGACGTGGAGGGTTGACACCACCATGTGCCTAGAGGACAGAAAGCCAGAAATATTTTGCAAACAGCTGTGAATACTAGCCACACTAACCAAACTAGCATTTACTGAATGCCTACCTACTATGTACCTACTATGGGCTTTTTATGGGAGACTCCCTGAAGCCCCACAATAAATCTACAAAATAGTAGCACGATTGTCTCCGTTTTCCAGACAACTAAGGCAGAAAAGTCCAACACACTGTGATGGCAGAGCCAGTCCATAGAGGAGCCGGGATTTGAACCGGGCTGTCTGGTGCCGGAGACCACCCTCATAGCCCCTGTGGCATTACCCGATGCCATAGAGCCAGCAGTTGGTCCTCAACACTCTCACTGTGGAAATTCCAGTCCCTCCCAGAACCTCTTGTTTGAGGAGGCTTGGGGCACCGGTGACCTATGGCTCTATTAACTCATACTGGGGGGAAGGCGAGGGACTCTGAAGGCAGGGAAAATGGTAACAGCCCCCAAACATTTATTAAACCCGAATATGTGACAGGCATTGTGCCAAGTGCTGAACGAGTATCATCTCAATACTGTGAAGGTCATGAAATCAAATCCTCCAGGGACGCCTGGGTGGCTCAGCTGGTTGAGCATCCCACTCTTGATTTGGGCTCAGGTCGTGATCTCGGGGTCATGATCTCAGGGTCGTGAGATGAGTCCTGCATCGGGCTCTGTGCTCAGCACAGAGTCTGCGTATCCATCTCCCTCGGCTCCTCCTCCTTTCTCTCTCTCGCTCTCAAATAAATAAAATCTTTTAAAAAAATAAAATAAAATCCTCCTGTGATGCTATAGGATACCTTCTCAAGCACCCATCCTAAAATTCCCACCTGAAGTAAAGAGATTTGCTCACATCCTCCATAAGCCCTAGCAGGGTTTAAATATCTCAAAAATGTTGGGGTCTCCTCATTAGACTTCGGACAAGCTACTAACTCTCTTTGGCTTCTGTATGCGTAAAGTGGAAATATCAACATTACTTTATTTCAAAGGTTTGTTCCTCAAAGGGTAAGGTTTAAATAAGAGACTTCTTCTGTTAGTCTGATGCAGAAGTACATTCACCCTCCTTCCCCAAACATACAGGGACTTCTTCTGTTAAATAAGACTTCTTCTATTAGTCTGATGCAGAAGTACATTCACCCTCCTTCCCCAAACATACAGGCGTGCTGGCTAAAATTGCCCCCTTCCAAAGATGTTTTTAATACATGGCTGGTGTCGAAAGCAAGAAAGCGTACCGGATACGGGGAGGACTTTAAGTTACAGCAATGAACGAAAGTGGAGGCCAAACGACCCACAGAGCTGTCAGACATGATCACAACCTTAGGAACCTGGGTTCGATGGCAGAAGAGCAAGGCGTGGGCCCCAGCGAGGATGGGATATGGACCGAACTTCCCAGAGAAGATCA